AGGTGCTGCTGTAAGAACTCCTGTGAGGGTAGTTTGACAAAGACACCGAAGACAAAGCAGAAGAGATCCGCTCATCAACAGCACCCAGCCAGGAGTTAAAAGGATATGCTATGGGCACAAGAAAACACTATAAAACGCATAGACAATGGAAGACTTATATAAAACATACAAGCAATGCTCAAATCTGAAGAGTAACACAACTCAAATTAGTCGCTCATTTCTGAAGACCTTCAGATGGCAAACAAGCCTAGAGAAAGCTGCTCAACATCAAGGATAATTAGGTGCTCGTGTGTGGAACCATGGTGAGTGTCATGACACACGCATTGGGACAGTGGGAGGCACGGGGCTCAACCACTCTGCAAGACAGCCTGGCAGTTCCCTCCAGGCTCCAGTGTTAAACACTATATCACTAGGTGTTCACCAAAATTAAAACATGTGTTCACACCAACCCACTGACAAATACCTGCAGCTCAGCCGCAACAACCCACACCACCCTCCACTCCAGTGTTTACGCCTGGCTGAGCAGAGGAAGAACCAGCTTCACCACACATGGCATGCCAGTGTTTACGCCTGGCTGAACAGAGGAAGAACCAGCTTCACCACACATGGCATGTCAGCAAGAAAAAGGTGACACTGTGTGCGTTGCATCACAGGCATTCAGCTAAGAAAGCCAAAGTTCCACCTAAAGCCCACATGGTAGACAGCACTGTGCACGGAGCACCCTGGGGTCAAGAGGGAAGGGAAGAGAGACGCAAGGAGGGAAAGGAGAGGGAGAGGGTATGTGGTGGAAAAGAGGGAGGGGAGATGGGGAGGGAGAGAGGGAGATGGGGAGAGAGGGAGCGAGGGAGATGGGGAGAGAGAGAGGGAGAGAGGGAGATGGGGAGAGAGAGCCATGGTTCCCCAGGGACCCCTCAAAAGTTCAAGGGATACACGGGTCTGGATCTGGATTGTGGCAATGGTTTTAAGACTGCATTTGTCAGAACTCAAATGCAAATCACACGGCAATGGTTTTAAGACTGCATTTGTCAGAACTCAAATGCAAATCACACAGCAATGAGTCTGATGCTCCCCCAAAAAAGCCTTTTGCAGCTTCAATGTGCAGCCAGAGTTCAGGGCCCCTGTGTGAGTCCTCCACACAAAGACTTACAGCTTCGCCTGGCAGCTGTGGCTCTCGGGCTATGGAGTTTTCAAAGCCTGTGATGCCGATGTCTGGCTTAGGGGATACTGCAACTGGTTTGGGTACTGGACATTCTGAGTGATCTTCATTTACTTTTACAGCCCACGAGGGTGTCCCACAGCTTCCCTGGTGTGTGTGTTTGTGGGTACTGGGCGTGTTTCCAGACAGCTGTACAGCAGTTGCTGATTCAGCGACAGCCATTCCATCACAGGTGGAGAGCTCCTTCATCATAGTTTCTCACGGTGCCAAGAACGTGTTGAGAAGCTGCCATCGTGTGCCTGCAGTGTCCTGTGCCACCCACAGTGGCCTCCAACATTGCTGTCCCAAGGACCGCGGGAAGAAAACTCCAAAAGCTACAAAGCCGCCTGCATGCGCAAAAGGTGGAAGCTAATATTTTTTCTCTGAGTTCCAATAGTTGCTAAGGAGGATGTTTCCACTGCATTGTAAAGCTTGACATTTCAAAATCAAATTCAAATGGTTGCATCGCTCTGTTAAATGTATCTATTGGGATATAAATAACAGAACGGCTTGACACCCACCATCCTCCATTTACAAGATCCCACGAAACTCTTCAGGAGCAATCCGAAATGTTACATTGTTCCTGTGCTGGCACTTCCCTCTGGTTCCCTGGCAGTACTGTACCTTATCATAATATAGTTTTAACCTTGAAGAAAATGTGGTCATGGCCCTATTATATATTCTTACAATAAACCAGGTGTGTTTACACACGAAACTTAAACTTTTAAAGTTTCTTCTCACTGTAAAATCATGAGTAGCCGAAAATTGAGGTTGACATTACCACAATTGGAGCACTATGAATCAAGACAACAAAAACAAATTAGATGCTTTAAAGTGTCTTTTAAAATAAAAGCCCCTTTTAATTGTAAATACACCCCAGTTAAGCCAGAGTTCCTTGTGGAACAGTGTTGTGTATTGTGCTCCCAGGGGGAGCTATGTGAAAATTGTCTTATACTGGAAGGTCACGGGGGCGGGGGGCAGAATGAGGAGCAGGGAAGGGAAGAGGTGACAGCTAACCACATAACAAGGTAAGGGGAGACACACCAAAGTTGAGTACTCGGGCAGTGATTTTAAAGATCTAATCATGGGACTTGGCATAGTCAGTCCACTGCTCAGGATGTCAGCCACACAGTCAGTCCACTGCTTATGGTGTCAGCCACGCACAGTCAGGCCACTGCTCAGGATGTCAGCCACACAGTCAGTCCACTGCTTATGGTGTCAGCCACGCACAGTCAGGCCACTGCGTATGGTGTCAGCCGCCCACATCCAAGTGCTGAGGAAGTCTTGGCTGTTTCCCAGCGCCTGGGTCCCCATCACCCATGTGGGAGACCCAGATGGAGGTCCTAGCTCTTGGCCCAGACCTGACTATTGCAACTATTTGGGGAGTGAACCAGCAGATAGAAACTCTTGTTCCTACTTGCTTGCTCACTCTCTCTCCATTTCGAATAAATAAATAAGTATTTTTAAACTGAGTCTCCTGTTGGCATGCCCTAGGAGCGCTATACCTTGCCACCCCCACCCTACTGCTGCTGGTCTAAAAGGCACCTGCCAGTACACAGGAAACATGAGAACAAAGCATGAGCCGCCCCAACTCCTCAAAGAGGAGCAGGTTACAGAAGAATGCCCAGATCTGGGAGTCAGCAGCAAAGGGGAAGCCACTCGGAGTCCACACACATGGGACACTCCCACCTGTGCAACAGTGCCAAGTAGAGAGCCACTTCTTACACCCAACACAGTCATGCCAGTCCAAGGGCAGGGACACAGCACATCCCAACAGCAGCAGGACCACCCGGCCCGGGCAGCTGCTTGGAGGGAAGCCCTGTGAACGGATACACAGAAGTACCAGCCCCGTGCAATAATGCGAAAGCCCACATTTTTAGCAAACATACACTGCCCTGTCTCATGCTGGGCTTGCCCTGTCACATGCTGGACTTATCCTGTCACATGCTGGGCTTGCCCTGTCGCATGTTGGGCTCACACTGCCCTGTCGCATGCTGGGCTTACCCTGTCACATGCTGGGCTTATCCTGTGTTGCATGCTGGGCTTGCCCTGTCACATGCTGGGCTCACACTGCCCTGTCGCATGCTGGGCTTACCTTGTCGCATGCTGGGCTCACGCTGCCCTGTCGCATGCTGGGCTTACCCTGTCGCATGCTGGGCTTACCCTGTCGCATGCTGGGCTCACACTGCCCTGACACATGCTGGGCTTGCCCTGTCGCATGCTGGGCTCACACTGCCCTGTCGCATGCTTGCCCTGTCGCATGCTGGGCTCACGCTGCCCTGTTAACATCACATGTGGGCTCACACTGCCCTGTCACAGCCTGCTGTTATGTCACATGCTCCTCACGCTGCCGTTCCCCGACTCCAGCCGCCCACAGGAGAGGCTCTGGCCTCCTTCCGCAGCCCCTCACTGCAGGACCTGACCACGGAGCCCCGGGAAGAAGTTCTCAGGCACCAGAAGAATCAGAGCTCTCCTGCACACTGCTTAGTCACATCGGGAAATCTGTCAGCAAGCTACGTCCACAAATGAGAAAACACAGCCTCTCCGCACCTTTAATAAAACCTTGTTATTGCAATATAAAAACAGAGAAGGCCTGCTCTAACTATGAAACACAGTGACAGCCAATAAACTGCCCGCCCCACGGCTGTGTTCCCGTCGGCCAGGCTTTGCCGTGGGTTTGTGTGGCTCGCATCCTCTGCTGTGCTGAGTTCACGCAGCCCATGCCTCAGCCCTGCCTTCCGTTTCCTCGGCGCATCCCAGATCCTGCGAGGTCTGCTCCTCGGAGTCGCTCTAACCCAGTTAGGAGACGTGGCCTCGTCAAGTCAGGGACACGGCAGGAACCACCCCCACCGTCCGGCACGGACACCCCACGGGCCAGTGTTCCAGACCTAGGAGCGGATCCGAAGGCAGAGCCTCAGCGGTGCAGAACCAGAGAACGTACACTGCCTGTCATCAGCCCGTGCCTGGCCACTGGCTCTCAACTTTCTCACCTGAAAAGTCTTGGTGGGCGTCCCCAGCACACGCTGACCCCTCCCAGTCTTGGTGGGCGTCCCCAGCACACTCTGTGAAGCAGTACCCGGTGGGCCCCGGACCACCATGAGAAGGAGGTGCCGCTGCTTTCTGCAATGGCCAAACAGATCCACCCACTACGCCACAGGGAGTGCTGCCTGGCCTCCAGCGCTGCTCCCAGGGCGACGGCCAGAGACAGCTCCAACCCAGAGCCCAGCTCAGGAACACCGCTCTCAGCGGTCTGCAGCTGGGCCCCGCGGCAGCCAGGGTGAGACCCCGCACAGAAACCTGCACAGGAGCCCCTCAGTAGAGACAGGGGCAGTCCTCCGGGCTCACCCAGGCAGCATTTCTCGCAAGTGGGGATATTATCGACAGCACTCCCATCCAACCAAGGCTGCTCTGAAATCATTTCCAGACAGCTCGGTGCCAGCTGGACAGGTCAGGCCCCAGTTCCCGGAACGCCCCGAGTCAGCTCACTCAGCTCTGCCCGCGACCTGTGCTCCCGAGGGGCCCAGCTGCTCTCCCCTGCCTGAGAGTGCCTCCTGGTGACAGCATCAATGTTCCCTCCCACCCCTTGGCAGCCTCACCAGGGCCTCCACACCCTGTCCTCTGGGGGAGGCACCTGCAGCCAGCACCTGTGCCGCAGGACCCGTGCCTGCGCGCGCGCACACACACACACACACACACACTCCCCATGAGCCTCCCCCCTCCAGCCGCCCCTGCCACTCACAAACCCCCACACAATCACTCCCAGCAAAGTTAGTCCCGGCCCCAGACCGAGGCGGCAGCATCTCACCTTTGGAGAACAAGGCGGCCAGGCTGATGAGCACGGGGGACCAATGGTGCCACAGCGGCCCCATGTCAGACGGGCACATCCCGGAGAACCCAAGCGTAGATTCTCGGCTCCCCGGCGCCGTCCAAGCGAGGAGACCTGGCTGAGCTCTCAGAAGGCCAGAGCCGGGCTGGGTGGCGCAGGAGTGCCCGGCTAGCAGCCCGAGCAGCCCCGTGGCCCTGCGCCCTCCGCCGGGCAGCTCCTGGCCCAGCGGGCTCGGACTTCTGAGTCCGAATGCTTGCAGGCAAGCCCCACCCCCAGCCCGCGCTCCCAGCCACGATTTTAAAAATATATATCCACAAGGGGTTTTCCTGTCCTGTTAGCCCAAGAGTGTCCCAGGTGGTCCCGGGAGGGAGCCGCCAGAGAACGCTGGGCCCGCCGTGGCCGCGGCTGCCGGCTCCAGGGCTGGCTAGCGAGCGCGGGCGCGAGCGACAGCCGGGCGGCGGAGCTGCGGCGCCCGGGACTCCGGCAGAGGCGGCGCGGAGGCTCCAGGGCAGCTGGGCCGGAACGTGGGGCGGCCTGGGGTGTCCTGGCACGCGGCCCCCATCCCGGGCCAGCCGCTGCGCCCACGCGCGCGCTCGAGCGCCCAAAGTTTGATGGGGCGCAGCACCTCTGCGTGCCGCCGCCTCGGCCCGGCCGCCCACCCAGCCCCGGCCGCGCTCGGGCTCAAGCTCGGGTCCGCCGGGCTCTAGGCGCGCAGAGCGCACTGCCGGCCTCGAGACGTCGGGCTCCCCCCGGCGCCCGCGGGAGGCGGGCCAGCTGTGCGCGGGGGAGGCCCGGCCGGCGCGGGGACGCAGCTGCCGCCCCGCCAGCCGGCTCAGTGGCCCGGTCCCCCCGCCACCGCATCCAGAGCGCCGGAGATGGCCACAGTGCCAAGCGCGCGTTCGGGGCTTTGCCTCAAAGATTTGTCTTTTTTTAAAAAGCCCCACCCTTCCGGAGTGGCAGCCGTGCGCCCCAATCCGCAAACTGAATCCCACCTATCCCTTTCCCGAGTGGGCTCGGCACCCGGCACAGCTGCCACCGCCCTTTGGCGGGCGAGCGGGAGGGGGCTGCCGGTGGGCGGTAATCACTCCGCCCGCTGCAGCAGCCGGAGGAGGGCGCTACACACGCCCACAACAGGTGTGTTGTTCTGTTCTCTTCAAAAAACCTCGGCCAGGGGCCCCCGAGTGGGTGTCCCTGGCTGGATCGCCCGCCTCCGGAACACGGGATGAGACCCTCAGGCAAGAGAGTCGTCTTGGGAAGAGACACGGTTCTCGGCAAACACCATCCTGAATCCCTAAGTAATATGTCCCCAGAAAAGCCCCCAAAGACAGCTCGGCTCCACAGCAGCCTTTGCTTTCATAGATCAGAACCCAGCGAGCGGCAGGGACAGCATCCTGAACGGCTGAAGACAAACCCGCAACCACCACGCCAAAGGAGCCAGATTTACCTCTGCTGGTGAAAATGGGTCGTGGCCATGAGGCGCGTGCGTGCTGTACACGCAGCGAAGTTGCGCGCTTGAGGGAGCCCAGGCTGTCCGTTTCCCATCTCCTCGGCTCTGCAGGTGCCTTCAGGCATCCCTCTGTGTTTGCTCCCGCTTCTCCTTTCGCCTTTCAGCCTTCCCCTCGATAGCTTTTGCCCATGAAACTTGAAGATGCTGCAGACCGCTGCGAGTGGCCTCCTTCCCAGTTTCTGAGACTGTGGCACCCCTGGGAGGCCAGGGCATAACCTGGAGTGCAGGCCCAGCGCCAAGGCTGCGGTCTGAGGCCCACACTGGGGCCACCTGTCCCCTCCACTCAGCCGCAGGTCAGGACAGCGGCCCTTCCCACGCACGCCTCCCCGGCCTCAGCGCACACACCTGCCCTTCTCACTCCTTCAGGGCTGGGTCCCTTTTGCCACAGAGCGGGCTTCCTCTTCAAAAATTCTGAAACCGATGAACAAAAACCAAACAGCCTGATTGTCAAAAAGCACTCCCGTCCCCCGGCAGCCCTGAGGTCATCAGATGGCCCTGCTTCGGTCCCTGCAGGATCCCTCTGTGCCCTCACAAGCAAAGGTGCCCGACAGATGCCCTGTGCACACGCAGGCGGCTGCGCAGACATCTTGCCCTCTCTGCTGGAGGAGCCGCAAATCTGGACACTGCCTCAGCTCAAATCAAACGCAACCACAGCCTCCTGCCCTCTCCCCTCCCGACGATGCTGTCCCAGCCGCAGCATCCGATGGCCTCTGGGTCCTTAGCACAAGTAACCACGCGGCAAGCAGCTGCGGAGGCCACCAGGCCCCCAGCAGTGGCCCAGGCCTCAGGAAGGACTTCCTGTCCGAGCCACCAACTGTGAGGAATCCCGGTCCCCCGAGAGCATAGGTTTCTTCTGCAGGCCATAAATCAATGTGTAAGGCTAATTTTGCTGGTAATTACATAGCACTAATTGTTGGCTCCACGCACTGGTTGTCCCTACACCTTCCTGGGAAGCTGAGCAGACACAGTGCGGGGCCCCACAGCACTAACCGGCCGCTCTTCGCTTGCCAACGACGCGTGCACGTTCCCGGTGACGAGGCCCCGCTTGAACTGAGCCCAGCGTGTGTGTAATACAGAATGCTACCTCTCGAGCCCCTCCCACGTGGCACTATCGCTCGTCTCCCCATCGGCTCAGCCGGATGAGCACCCAGCGGGAAGGGCCTTACAACCTGCTGGCTGGCTTGCACCTTCTGGCTTGGAGAGCCCTGAGGCTGTTGGGCACAGACGGGGGAGACCAAGGCCCTCTGGGGCCCTCGCCATCACCCTAGTGCCCTGCCACGACTGGAGGCCGCCGAGATCTGCCCTTCACGCCTCCCCAGCTTCTCGACCCCTTGCCATGGATGGAATGAAGGAGGGCAAGAGTGTGAAAGTCACCAGCAGGGTCGGCAGGCTGAAGGCCACCTGTGGCTCCCCACTGCGCACCTGCCCAGCCAGGAACCCAGTGGCCAGCTGCCCCCAGGTGGCCAAGTCCATCGCCTGCGGCCAGCACGAATTCCTGGCTCAGCAGCCGGACAGCCCGGAAGGACGGCCGGAGCTTGAGTCATCCGTCTCGGAGCACTGGTCAGTCGGGAAGACAACCGGCACCTTCAGGGGGCAGAGGCCACCATGTCATGTCCCTGTCGGAGACAGACTCGGTCACATGCTGAGGGATGGACAGAGCTCGGGGAGGAGCCCTTGCTTCAATTCGACTTCCCCACCTCTCCAGACAAAGTCCAAGGGAGAAGCCCAAGGCACCCAGACCGCCAAACAACAGGGGTCCCCAGGTGAGGACAACCACCAGTGTGCCCTGATTAGGGGCAAGCAACATGACCCTGCCCAGTCGCAGGCACGGGGCCTCCGGCAGAGGCCTGGCTGAGGAGCAAGCCCTGACCTGGCCGGGTGGGGACGGCAGCCAGCGTGGAGGTCTTGGGGTCTGATCCCGCAGGCAAGCCACCCAGACCAGTGCAGCGAAAGCTCAGGCAGCCAGGGCAGCCGCACCCTCGTGCTCCTCCAGCAGGCACCGGCTGCCAGCCCATCGTCAGAAAGGGGAAATGAGGTGGAGGACCAGGCAGGACGGGAAACCCCTGTGACCCTGCCCAGGGACCGCGCCCTGCCCCAGCGCCCCATCCATCCCAGCCACAGCCAGGCAGCAGACCAGCCGTCCTTGTGGGGGCTCGGTACTGAGGAGGCGGCCTTCCCAGGACAGCGGAGCCCCCACCTGAGCCCCCACACCAGGGGAACGCTAGCCTGGCTGTGGCCCATCAGCGCCGACGGCACCCAGATGCTTTTGGGTTTTGTTCTCTTAAAATCTATGTTCCTAGTGCACTCGCAGGGCTTCCCCAGGGATGCCTCGCCTCATATGGTCCTTCCCGGGGCTGCACGTGGCCCTTGTCGCTGAGGAAGCAGGCAACACCCCTCCCCGTGTCAAAGCAAGCATTTACAGACCGGAGGGATTGGGCAGCCAGGACAGCAAAGGCATTGGGCGCGACTTGCCCCATTTGCTGAGACCAATGACTACCAATGCCTCCACTCCCTGCCCCTCATCAACGGGAGGCTCCGAGGAGGGCAGGGGGCAGGGGGTGCTGGAAAAAGACAGGCCAAGTGACATGCCATCGGTGTTGCTTTCATATCATAACGGGTTGTAAGAGTCAGGAGGGGTACCTGGGTGACCAGCCCTCTCCAGCCTGTCCTTCTGCACGGCTAAGAGCAGGTGCCCGGCCCAGGGGGCAGCCGTCGCCCAACAGTGGGCCTGCAGCGCCCCCTAGTGCCCTGTCGGCGGCAGCGAAGGACACCTCCTTTCTAGTCAGTGCTACAGTGTTCTGTGATGTTTTCATTTGTCCAATCACGTCTGTAAAATTTGGAAATCTCTCTCATTGTTTCATTTTAACAAAGAAAATGAGCAAGGCCTTGGACTTCAGCAAGGGTTGGGTGAACCCAGTGAGAGCGGTGGCTGTCCACGGGTCTTCACCTTGACTGTCATACTGCTAAGTGACCCAAGGAGCTGGCACTGTGGCTTAGCCAGCTAACCCCCGGTCTGCAGTGCCAACAGCCGTGGGGGGCACTCGCTCACTGGCATCGTTCACTGGGCTTCTGCAGGGTTGGGACCAGGAGCAGATTTTCTTAGCGTGATGTTAAATTGTCTCCACGGGAGTCAGCTTCTAAGCAAGAGCCGTGTTGGGGTTGAGCTCCCAGTGGGGCAGTCAGCGCCAAGTCAGGAGTAAAACCCTGAGCTGACGGCTGCTCTTCTTCACCCATGTCTCTGCTCTGCATCACCAGGGACGGGACGGGACGGGGAGGAAGAGCACCTGCAGTCCCTGCAGACACTTCCTGCCGAGGAGCCTGCAGGGCTGTTTCTGCTTGTTGGGGAAAATGCTGACTGCGGCGTCAACCGCTGCCGTGTCCCATTTTGGGTTCTGTACTCGAGTCGCTACACCTCTAAGCTCAGGTCTGAGTGTCAGACTTCCCACCTGAAGTGATATTGCGGGCGTTTCTGCCGCTCTGGTAAGACGCAGAGGCCCTGGGGCTGGGAGGCGGCCCGCTTCCCGGCGAGCACGGCCCCGGCCCATCCCAGA